TGAGTAATGCATATTCCCTAACCTAGATACGAACATGTCAACATGCCAGGCATGGTTATTGTTCAAGTGTTGCCGTTCAAGTATGTGATTATTGATGTAGGACCACCCGTAGAGCATTTGTGAGTGACTATCAAGACACTGCATCAAGGCATGATATTGCATGGCCATGCCATATATACCTTAGTATTTTTGTATGATGGATGATAATCGCTGCTTTCTTGCTGCTAACCATATAAGATCACTTGAAAATGCGCTTTTGACTGTAAAATATGGGGCCCGTAATGCGCTACACTCTCTATATATATATATATTTGTGTTCACTTATCTATGTATTTGTTTATGAACGTCAACTTATAAGGGCTACCTAGGGCACCCCCTCCCCTCCTCCAACCCTAAGGTATCCTATTGCAGGGGTAGTGAGCCAAGGCAGATGATTGGTGAACGGCAACTAGCTAAGCTTCGAGGAACCAGCTTTCGTGAAAATACATGTTTTAAGAGACGGTAAGATTTTGCAGATAGCTGCAAGGGAAATCAATCAGTATCCAACATACCACCTAGTATGGGTTTATCCCTACCTAGACTTAGGTTTCAGGCTGTGAGGACGAGGGGTGAAGATGAAACTCAGGTGGGGATATAGGGCTTCGAAGGTATGGTGGAGGGCTTAGTGTACTGCAGGGTTGAGTTTTCAGTAGGGAGTACTCGAAGGTTCTGGCGTGGTCATAGACGGAACTGCAAGTTATCTGGGTTAGGGTTCTACCTATCTTTTTCTGTGCGTCCAATCCAACCAGAAGTGTAGGCGTAACCCTATTATAAGCCTATTAGGAAACGTAAGGGGCTTCTTGTGGATTAGTTGAACGTGATCCACCCCAGCGTATTCCTAAACGACGGAAAAACTACCTTGGGAGATTGGTTTTAACTGCCAGTGGACCTTCAAGTATGGCGGGAGGCTTTGGAGGTTTGTGCTGATTGTCGTAAGTTGTAGGCAGCTCTCTCTTTGAGGCATGTTAGATCATCAGCGTTTCCAAAGCTTGTGGGTTCCTGGGCTCGGGTGCATGTTAAGTAGGGTCCCCCTATCAGGCCCTATCATGGAAAACTACCATATACATGGCGTGCTCCTAACGCCACCATATACTTCAACAGTCACTACGAACAATGGCAAAAATGTCCGGTCCCAAGCTCTAAACCCCTGAACCCTACATTCTAATCTTCAAACTCAGAGCATGGTCAACGCCCAAGCTGCAACATTTACGTTACAGAACACAGAAACATGGACTTCTTAGCCCCGAGTTCTGGCAAGCCACGAGGCAGAAAATCTCGAAGCCTAACCATGTTAACTTCTACATGAGCCTGAGTGAACTGTGAATCCCGGTAGCTCTTAAGCCCATTCAGAACTAGTTGCTCTTACACTATGTGAGTGTTTCTAGAAAAAAACGTCTCTGCAGACCGCACGGAAGGTTCTGCTAAATGTTCTGGGAGTCTCCGCTACGCATACTATGAGGTCTTCTGCAGAAGCTCATACGTAAAGACGTAACATGAACTGATGAAACCCTACACTACACCCTCCTCACTGCTCACTTCCCAAAATCAAGCCAAAATGAGCCCTCGCTAAGTTTCATTTGGAGTCTACTCTAGGGAAGCGTATAGGGAATGTGCCTCGTAATGTCGGGCGGAATGTTGCGCCGGGCTCTGTAGCTGCCCGTGGTCATCCTCGTCGGGGTTGTGACTACGGTTTGGAACTTACCGTGTACAGCTTACCTAAACCCTAAATTTTAATCGGGTTTGCGTTTTGGGGGTGGGGTTGTTTGTAAAAAATGAAGGATTGGATCCTTACAGTAGCGTCTGATCTGCTCACAATACCAATCACTGTAACCCTTCGCTTTCTTGTCCGCAAAGAACAGCGGCTTAGGGTTGAGGGTCGATCTGTTCTTGCAAGGCTTGGGGAGATCGAGCAAAATCGACCGTTGTTGGGTCCTAGCGTCCATTGTCCATACTGTACACTGTCAGAACCCTGTTCGATGGGATGAATCCGCAGAATACGCCCTGCGAAATCCTCGGAGAAATCCCCTTCCAAATCCGTGTACATCCCCCAGCCGCTGCAAGCACTCCGTTTCGAGAGGCTCCTCTGCGAATTCTCAAGCCTCCCCGTTCCTTCTGAACCCTAACCCCAGTGAGCCTTCAAGATGAATCCTATTTATCTGCCTAGGCCCTCTACATTGTATATTCCCCACCTCTACAACAATCTATTCTACGCACCCTTGAAACTCAGATGCTTGTATGACTGTTCTAGCGTATGGGAGAAGTAACCCAGCCACGTCGCTATTACGTCTTCAAAGTGACCTAGGACAAACGCCCCAATCCCGACCAGGGGACCAGAGCCAAGCTTGCAGCGACACCTCGTTTTACAAAGCCCCCCCCAAAACCGAAATCCCTGAACCCTAAGCCCTACATCTTCATCTTACCCTTGGTGAGCTGGGAATGGAGGAATGGAAAAGAAAGCGGGAACTACCATAATGGTTCATGTAGGGACTACTATACGGATCCATTCCTTCATTCGTAGCTAAGCCCAAAGCCCTAAACCCCTACACTGGCGAGATCTTGTTGAGGTGGGAACTGAGGGCGTAGCCCTGAACCCTAACAGGAAGTAATTTGGGTNNTTTTGAAGAAAGCCCAGCTTCGATAGCTTCTTGGGCAACATCCACGAGGTTCGCTGGGCGCAGGATGTGCCGCCACCCACAGATCCCTGGAAGTGGGGTGGCTCCATCGGCGCATGGATACTCAGCCCTGCGCAGGTAGACGCCCTAAACCCTAAACTCTAAACTTCTTCAGCTGTCTTGTTGCAACCCAGGCTCAGCTCTTGCATGGCCTTCTTGAGCTCACTCAAAGAGACCTTGCATCCCCGCCAAGGCCCAAGGACTATTTGGGTTTCTGGGGTCTAGGGCCTTTAGGGTTTAGGGTTTGGGGAAACTGCTAGCATCTCTTTTCTACGAAGGTACTGATCGCATCAGGGTATATAGGATTGGGGTTTAGGGCTTCCAAGACTTAGGGGTCCCTTGCGTGGGACCCCATACTAAGGGGTTCAATTTACAGGGATCTATATTGGGCCACGCCTATCCATGTAACCTGGACCTACCCAAAAGGTTCGAAGTCACCTGTTCAACTGCTTTGCCTTTTGAGAATAACTTGTGGCCCTAGGAGAGGCGATTGGGTCTGCTGGAGATTCGCCCAGCTTTCCCGTACACCTCTTGTGCTCCATCCTCAGCTCCTAAGGGATTGGGAGAAAGGGGGCGGTTCTCCAACGTGTTGATCCGGGGGCCATCAGTTCAAACAGTATAAAATCATTAAGTGGGTCAAAGTCATAGAAGAAATCCTTTTTTTGCTGTGGGTGTTGAGTACCAGCCCAACTTGCTGAACCCTAAACCCTAAACCAGTTTGGGCCCGGCGGCTGTCCCGCTGTTGTCGGAATCAAGCCTCTGGAACATCTCCTTGCAGAGCAGGCAGTACTGTCTCATCTCGGACTCTTCCCATGTTGGCACGGCAATCAACGGCCTCCTATAATCTACGTTGTTTCGAGCATAAGGTTAAACCTTCAAATTCCAACGTCATCTTCCTTATCTGGCTTTAGTATGATAGATCCGATCATTACTTTCAACAGTGGCCCAGTACCGGCAACAAGTCTGACCCTTTCTAACCCCTGCACAGCGCCTCGCATCCTGGAGAACTGCCACGCCCACCACTTTGGGAAACTGACGTCTAGTTTTCACGAACCCCTGCTAGACATTATACTTTCCTTGTTCGTTAGAATATGGTGCACGGTTCTTTAGAAAATTCTGGTGAAACCGGGCCACGCATGAAAAGCGAAAGGCGCTTCCCGCTAATATCAAACACGTTCCCCAAATAGTTTGGAGACGCTTGAAAAGTCAGCAGTGGGGAGCGTCCATGGGCCCCAACCCTGAACCCTAAGCCCTGAACCCTAAGCGCTCAACAATAGACACTAAACCCTAGGCCCTGCAGTCTATACACTGACAATCTACCTGAAGTTTAAGAACAAGCAAGGAACCTTCATCTGCAGAACCTCGGGCCCGCTCAAATGGCTGGCCTTGGGGCTTTAAAAACATGAGCTTTGTGGCTTAGGTTTGGGGTTTGGGGTTTAGGTTTTTTTTTTTATGAAAAAAAAGAAAAAAGAAAAAAGAAAAAAAAAATAGAGATGGATACACCGTTTTCGTTATTTTGTTTTTGTTTCTTTTTTCTTTTGCCCCCCCCCCCAAGGTCTGTACATACAGCGGCCCG